GCTAAAAAATACAATTTTTGAACTGAAAAGTTAACCTGATAGTTTTAACCACAGATTAGACACAGAACTTCTTAATTTAAAGGCAGTCACATTTGTTTCTTTGATGGCCAGCAATTTTTGTGTCTTGTTTAAGAAATGGTTTTCTGTTCCATGGTCATGAAGATAAACTATTATGAACAATGCCTTATAAATAAAAACTTTTGTTGCATATGGTGTTTTGCTGTTATAAACAGTCATGCCAGGGCCCTTGTTATGCAGTGGTATCTTGGTTCATGAATGTTTTTGTTTGCAAACAATTTGGTTTGCAAACAGAAGAGTTTGGCAAAATTTTGTTTTTGTTTGCAAACTCTACATTGGGAGACAAACATAATAACCACAGCCATCTTTCCTGCACGATCATGACCATAGCCTTTTCCAAAATCTTTTCCAAAATCATAAAACAAATTAAGCTTGTGAATCAAAATACCACTGTATATACTTTGGTGTATTTGGCATTTTTTGTAAAGGTCATCTATATAGAAAGTATTGCCAATGAATGAATTGATAGATCAGAAAATATTTAAAATTTGGGTACATTCTGAAAAATTGGCTTTCCAAGATACTATTATATCTTTCAATTTTTTAATCAAATATTATAATTATTAGCCAATATGTCCATTTACCTGTGAGATGAAATCATAGTTTCCCATATGGCTCTGGTGGAAAAAGAAAGCAAAAATTATTTTAAAAAATTATGGCTATAATTTGATTAAATTCATCAAATGTAAAGGAGAAAGCCTGCAGAGATTGTAAGAATTGTTGCCTGGTTATGGCTGCAGGGCTAGAACATAGATGTTGAGATGAGACTGTTATAAAGGCTGTTTCTTGGGCTGGGGATGTAGCTCAGTGATTCCACTGCCTGCCTTGAAAGCATAAGGTCCTGAGTTCGATCCCCAGTACCACCCCTCCAAAAGGCTGTTTTTCCTTCAAGGAGGGAATGTAGGATGATTTCACAAGGAGCATTGTCCTGCTATCTTTTCAAAACTACTTTGTCCTTCTAACTGTGGGCAACCTCTAGTTAGTTTTTATTTTATGTTTTTCCTTTAATACTGGGGACTGAACTCAGGACGTTGTGCTTGCGAGGCAGGCGTGCCTCCACTGAGCTAAATCACTGACTCTTCCACTAATTAGTTTTTGATTTCTAAAACTTTGTCATTTCAAAATGTTATATAATGTAACGAGGCAGCATGTGACCTTTGGGACCTGGCATTTTTAAAAATGCAGCATAATTCACTGGAAATCCATACCTGTTGCTGTATACATTGATAGTTCAGTTTTTTCTTATTGATGGGTGATATTGTGTGATGCGGATGTACTGAGATAGGATAAAAGAAATAAGGATAGGTAGGAAAGAGACAAAGAAAACCACAATTTAAAAGTTATACTTTTAAACTGGATGTGGTGGCGCACTCCTGTAATCCCATCACTTGGGAGGTTGATGCAAGAAGATTGCTGGGTTTGAGGCCAGCCTGCACTACACAGTGAGTTTAAGGCCAGCCTGAATTACATAGTGAGACTCTGTCTCAAAACAAAAAGAAGAGCAAACCGAAAAAAAAAAAAAAAAAAAAAAAGAAGAAGTTTTAGAAGACTGCAGCCTTGGCACACAAACCCAGTAAAAAAATTCTTAAGGTTCTTAAAACATAATAAACCCTGGCCATTCCCCTTTACCTGAAAATAGGCCTTTTCACCTATGAATAGACAATCTCTTTTTGCTGATAAAATGGACTTTTCCCTACTGATTTTGCTACTGCTCTGTCACCTGTGCTGGCTGTCACCTATGAATGGGTCAATGTCCTTCCCCTGTAAAAAGGCCTTTGGCTTTCATCTGTGTACTGAACCCCCTCTTTCCATATATTCCCAAGTTTCACACATTTCCAACCCCAAATCCCCACAAATGCACCCACGTGTAAGTGTAATGGAAGGGAAAGCCAGTGGACCTTTTCCCATGAGTTGCGACTCTTACCCACATTCTTCTGTGCCCCCTAATTCTGAAGCCCATGAAATCTGCTTACTGTACAAAACATTCCTGATAGGGCTGGGGATGTAGCTCAGTGGCACCACACCTACCTTGCAAGTGCAAGGTCCTGAGTTCAATTCCCAGTACAAACAAATAAACAAACTTCCAAAACAAACAGGAAACTTTGCATAAACACAAGATGGACCAGTGACTCAAAGACCCAATCCTGAGAACAGCAGGCCCTTAACTTCCACCCTCCCCTTAATGCCTTATCAACCCTTACTCTGTAAGAGAGCTGCTTATGGCACTTCAGAGCCAACTGAGCCTCTTGGGTCTTTATGTTAAATAAAGCCTGTCTTTGCTTCAAGTTTTTCTCTTTCTCCTCTTTTATTTCTAACAACAATGTGTCTCATTCTCTTATGACCATTCTTTCCTAAATTAGTCTTTCCTGTGCACCTCAGTAGTCCTTGAAATTCCCCTTCTGTGACAGGAGTCAGCAAGCTCATTCTGCAGGTAGAGTGGACCTAGATTCTCCATCTCCACTTTGGGAACCTCCTCATCCCTAAACCATGACAGAACCACTGTTTAACATTCACACCCTGAAGGATGTCTGGGTTGGTATTTACTTCCTATCGTGGTGGTAGCAGTTTTCGACAGATTTGGTGCCTTAAAACAACCCTAATGTGTGCCCCTGCAGTTCTGCATGTCAGCAGCACTAGCACTAGGTTGGCCTGTGGCGTTCCTTCTGCAGGCCCCAGGGAGAATCTGTTTCCAGTTTTAGAGGGTGCCCACATCCCCGGGCTCGTGGCTCCTTCCATCTTCAAAACTAGCAGTGAAACGCCTTCCAATCTCTCACTGTGTCTGTCTTTGCTTCTGAGGCTTCTGGCATCTCTGAGTCTAATCCTTTTGTGCTCCTCACAGAAGAAAGCTTGCAACTCCTGTAGGCCATTTCTGGATAATGCAGGTAATCTTCCTATCTCAAGAGCCTTAATTGAATCCCATCCAGTTAGCCCTGTGAGGGGACAAAGCCACAGGTATTCAACTGTGTACCTCCTTGGAGGCAAAGCTGTCTATCACAGTGTGGTTTCCAGAGGGTGACTCCTCTGAATAAAGACACTGTGATGATGCAGATAGGTCAGTGAGTTTGTGTTGTGAATGCAAATCCTCATTCCTCTGGGGTAAACACCCAACTGTAAAATGAACGGTATTGTGTGATGGTTGTATATTTTATTTTATAAGAAAGTGCCAAGCTGGTTTCCAGAGTGACTGTTATATTTTGCATCCTACCACAATTTATGAGTGACCCCCCCTCACTGAATCTGTCAGTATTTGGTATGGTTACTATTTCTTATTTTCTTTCTTTCTTTCTTTTTTTTTTTTTTGTTGTTGTTGTTACCAGGCATCGAACTCAGGTCCTTGTACCTGTAAGGCAGGCGGCAGAACCGCTGAGCTAAATCCCTGGCACTATTTCTTATATTCGCTGGTCTGAGAGTTGTGTGGTGATATCCCATCACATCACTCTGGCCCCGACAATGTGTACATTTGTTTGCCCTTCATCGAGATTACAAGAAAAGTTCAGAAAAAGTAGTTTATTCACAATTTAGCAATTCACAATTCACATTTTGGGAGGACAGCTAGGCCACGTACCTCAAAGGCACAGAGTCACTTGGTTTTCTAGAAAGGGTAGAACGAAAACCAGGAGATATGCACAAGTATATTTAGCCATGTTTTTGGCCCAGAAATGTTAAAAATCTGGCTTTGCTAAAATTTCCTTGGTGCCAGGGTTAGGGGTCAAAGTTTCACTCTCAGTGTGAGGAAACCAGGGCACAGCTTAACTTTGAAAACCACAGGTTTTAAAGACCCAGTTCAATCTCTCCATTTCAATTTGCATTTTCCTGATGGCTAATGATCTTGGATATCTTTTCTTGTAGATGTTGATTTTTTAAAAATTAACACAGTGTTAGTAATATTGATTGTAAGGATTCTCTTAAGGAGTTTTTCTTTCTTTCTTTGGTAGTACTAGAGATTGAACATAGAGCCTTCTCACTGAGCTACAGCCCTGTTTTTATTTTTTTATTTTTTTATTTTAAGACAGGGTCTTGCTAAGTCACTAAGTTGCCCAGCTAGGCTTGAATTTGTGATTCTCCTACCTTTGTCTCCCAACATTTACTCTTTATTGCAAACAAGCAGAATCACCGACTGGCAGACTCATCTTGCCTCGAGAGGAAAGCTCTGCGGTCCTAGGTATGAGGCAGCAGTCCCAGGTTGGCTCAGATAGAGGGAAAATCTGCTCAGCTTTGAGGAGGAAGGAGGGGACCCTCTGTCCTGGTGTCAGGGTGTGAAAGTGGCTCTTTACCTTCTTCTCCATCAAGCTCTTCCTGAGCTAAGTCTCATTACAATAAAGCCTCTGTACTCCAGGGTGTGATTTTTCACTGTGCTGCTGAAGGGCATTTTAGTTCTATGCATGCAGTTTGTCCCGTACCGCTAAGAATTTGCCCCATATCATCTGAAAAAGATCATATTTGGCTTTCCCTGCCTCAGTGGGTTTGATTTAACCATCCTGTTTATCTTGGCTCTGATTTCTTGGTAGCTCTGTTACCTACAGGGTCTTTGAAGGCTCTGCTGACTTTTTACCCTTTTCTCTCCTGGTGTATGCTAATTTCATACCCTTGAAGTCTGGCTTACTTTTCTTTTTCTTTTACTTTCTAAGTCTGGGAATTGAATCGAGAGCCTGTACGCTGAACTACATCCTCAGCCCCTTAAAAATACTTTTATTTTGAAATAGGATCTCCTTAAATCCCTAAATGGCCCAGGCTAGGCTTGAATTTAGGATCTTCCTGCTTCAGCCTCTCAGAGTTCTGTGACTACGCACATAGGCGTCAGTGCTGATTAGTTGCCCCCATGCGTGTGTCAACCGCCTAGACCAGGGCTGACATAGCTGTCTCGAGGGGACAGGAGCTTTGGGGAAAGGCCTGTGCCAATCAGAACGTGGAATGCTCCTGGGGGAGCGGGGAGGGGGTTCCGGTCATCTGTGTCAGAACACAGGCGGTGCGGTGGCGCCAGGCCTGCTCCAGGCCAAGCGGCAGAGACAGCCAACGGGCACCGGGCCTCTCCACTAGGGGGACCTGCGGCCTCCGCGCGGAGCCAGCTTCCGGCCACCACTGAACCCAGGAGAGTGAGGGCTGCCACGAGGGAGCGACACCGGGGGCCACACAGGAGGCGGCAGGAGGCCCCGAAGTGCCATGGAGTCCCCCATCGCCAGCTCTCTGCGCCTGCTCCTCTGGCTGCTGCTTCTCCGGCCCCGGCTGGGCGCGGACCCCAGGGACAGCGTGACGCCCCCTTCCCCAGGAGGCATCCCTAAGGCCGCGCCCTCACCTACAGCGACCTCGAAACCAGAGGTCCTTCCCAAAGGTGAGGTCACAGGCCCTGCCTCTGAGGAGTAGGGACAGAACCACGACCTGGAGCACCAGGAGTCAAGGGGACACTGCTGAGGTCTGCGAGAGCGGGCGGCCTGAGGGAGACAGAGGCATGGGGCGGGGCGGTACTGCCTTCCCACATCCCTGAGCCTTCACTGACCTGCCACAGCCTGCGGCCAGAGGAGGATTGTCGGGGGAAGGCCAGCCGCGGAGCGGAAGTGGCCCTGGCAGGTCAGCCTGCAGGTCCAGGGCGAACACGTGTGCGGGGGCTCCCTCATCAGCAGCCGGTGGGTGCTGACTGCAGCCCACTGCATACACACGTGAGTGTTTGGGGACCTGGCTTGGACCCGAGTGTGACCTGGGGCCAGTCCTGCCCCTTCCCGGAGGTGACGCTTCCTCATCTGTGCAGGGGGGGTTTCAGCCCCAGGTGGGGAGAGCCCTGATCTGGGGTTTCTAACGTGTTCCCAGGGGAGACGCCAGCCACAGGGTGGGGGTGCAGGAGAGGAGGAGGTTGGGAGACCGAGGAAGGCGGGGCCAGGCTGGGCGGAAGGGGAGGGGTGCAGACCTCAGCTCCCTCCGCAGTTTTGTGGACTACACGGTGAAGCTGGGAGACACAAACCTGAACCAAACAGCCTCAACAGCCTTTGTGGTCCAAGCCAGAGACATTGTTATGCACCAAGATTTCACCCGAATTGGAGGACTCTTCAACGACATCGCCCTGGTGTTGCTGTCCTCCCCTGTGAATTACTCCACCCACATCCAGCCCGTGTGCCTCCCTGCCGTGTCCTTCCAGTTAGAAGCTGGTACAGAGTGCTGGGTGACTGGATGGGGCAAAAGAAGAGAAGAAGGTGAGACAGGAAGCGGGGCGGTGGAGATCCCAGGCTAGGGAGGAGGCTACCTGGTGGCCTGGGGTGGTCCACGGCTGAGGGGAGGCAGGTTTGCTAGCAGGGCGTAGGGAGCAACTGAACAGCTGTCTGTGAATTTGGTTTTCAGGCCTGGGGGCTCAGGGGCCAGCGTGCTGGCATCTCTGCAGGGTGGGTTTTAGCTTGGGGCGTCACCCACCTGAAGCTGTCCCTCCCTGCAAATGCCTGCCTTGGTGGACAGGGCACTTCCTGTTTGTCAGAAGAGGCCAGAGAGCCCTCAGTGGGATCTGGGGGTCTCCTCTTCATTGGGTAACTACGGGGCACCACATGGCTGAGAGTCCGTGACCCTGCTCTGGAAATTGGATGCTGCCCTGCGACTCAGGCCACCCTGTCACCATTACTCGTTCGTGCTTGGTGGTTATGTCCCAGACTGGCAGACTTGCTCTCCTCCATGTCCCCTGCTGCCCTTTATTTCTGCTGTCTTGCTTTAGAGCTTACTGTCCTCCTACACTGAGGTCAGGCTGGAGCTCACTGCCTCCAGGTGAGATGGGGCCAGGAGCCAACGGGAAGAGGGTGCCCATGTGCAGAGACCCTGTACTGAGACCCAGAGCAGGTTCCAGGTACTCTCATCCTGTTGAAGTCAGGAAAACCGGCTCACCCCTAAATTCTCTGCCTACAGAAGAGCCAGGGCAAGAGCCAACTGAGCTTCAGGAGGTGAATGTGAAAATAGTTAACCATGGGGAATGTAATTCGCTCCTCAAGAAAAGCCTGAAGGTGTCCATCAACCCAGTCAGGCAAGGGGCCATCTGTGCTTACAGTGAAGGAAAGGACTCCTGCCAGGTCAGTCCACGGGCCCATGCTGGGGTGCACTGCAGTTGTCCCCTCAAAGGTCCATGTCCCTAGGCAGTAGGGCCTGGCTCATCCCCTGGCCCTCCACTTACCCACTTCAAGTGGAGGGGACAGGAGGACAAGTGGCCAGGGCTCTCAGGTCCAGCCTGGCCATGGCCCCCTTGGGCTAGCCTGGCACGCTGCCCCAGCACATGCCCTGTGCGGGGAGGGCGGTGGGTGTCCCTGGGTAGTGACACGGACTCCTGTCTGAGCCCCTTCTTTGGCACATGTAGTGCACTTGGGTGAGCCGTTTCCTGTCACCCCAGAGTGGGTGCATTGCCTTGGTTTATGTTGAGTTCCTTGGTAGACAGATTCTTGAATAGGTAGACAGATTTTACTTGTTAAAATGTTCCATTCTAACAGCTCATCATAGTCACAGAAACTGATGCTGGCAGGAATGTGGGGAAGCCCCCGCCCCGTGTGCCTGATGGCACACTCTGGGGGCAGCAGCCTGCTCTGACTGATTCCATTGGTGTTGTTTATTTGTGTCTTTCTCCTCAGGGAGACTCTGGCGGCCCTCTTGCCTGCGAGTTTAATAATACATGGGTACAGATGGGTGTTGTGAGCTGGGGCATTGGCTGTGGCCGCAAAGGACTTCCAGGAGTCTATACAGATGTCCGTTACTACAGGGACTGGATTGTGAGACACATGAGTCGGTCTACACGCTGGGACTCAGCCAGCTTCCTCATCCCATGCCTGTGTCTGCTGCTGCACCTGGCACCCTGGTGACCCCATGCTCATCCTGCCCGCTCCCCCTGTTCTGAGTCTTCCACTAGGCCCCTCCTCTGACCCCCTTTTCCTTCCAATGCCCTGGCTTCAAGTTCCGGTTTGACCCCTCACCCCTGGGGAGCCCACAGTGGAGCAGAGGAGGGGACTGGGCCTGCAAAGGGTCCGGCCCGGTGCTCTGGTCACCTGCTTCTCACACCTACACCTGGCCTGCTCTGCCTGAGGGAAAGAGGTGAGGCCTGGCCAGAGGCCCAGCGTCCTGCCGGGGGAGCCCGGTGACCCCAGACGTGTTGGAGAACATCTGCAAAGCAGAGGCGTCCCCTGTGGTGGAGCAGATCCTAGACCCGGCCTTGGTGTCAGGCTGTGCCCTGAGCCTGTGAGAGGTCAGCCAGCTGGGGACTGGAGAGAGAGAGAGAAGGAGGCTGGGACTTCCACGTGGGGCTGTGTCTGGGCTGGCAGAAATTCCCTACATTGTGGCCCGGGCCCATGTCTCAGGAACAGCCTGGGGAGCAGCAGCCTTGGCTGGGGTCCCTGGTCCAGCTCTTCCTTGCTCACGGTCCTTGTGGCTACTCCACGGGTAATCCAAGTTTGTGTTGAGGCTGTTTTGGAGTGTGCAGACTTCAGAGTGTACCGAATAAACGTTTGGACGGTGTCCTGTGTGTCTGCAGCGCTGCTCACCTGGGTGTGGGTCTGTGGAATGCATTCTCCCCAGGACAGCTTTCTCCTTAGCCAGGGAAGTCCTCTTGGTCTCGGTGAAACCCAGGAAGTACTTACCTGGCAGGGCAGATGCCATGATCACGAAGGTGGTTTTCCCAGGGTGAGGCTCATCCATTGCACTCCATGAAAACCAGGAAGAGCCAGAGAGAATGGATCGGGCTGCCCATCCACATTTAAGTGGGCCATGGGCTGAGCCGGTGGGTTCTGCTGCCTGTGCTCCTGATTTAGCCCCCAGAAACTCTGTTCTGCTGGGTGTCCCCAGGGTTAGCAGCCTCTGTAGTCAGGGGCAGCGAGGGTGAGGGATAGTGGCCAGGGCTGGGTGCCCTCACACACTGTGGCCTGCTCCTTGGTGCCTGTTATGGTGTGACCTGGTTTGCTTCAGTGGGCCACAGGCAGGGCACATGGAAGAGGGGCAGGAGGGCTCTCTGTGTGTATGTGTGTGTGTGTGTGTGCGCGTGTGCGTGTGAGCACACGTGCGTGCGTGTCCCTTTTCCCACTTTCGGACAAGTGTCCCAGAGCCTTCTGGTCTGCATGCCAATCATCCTGTGGCCCTTGTGTCCTGCAGTCTCACTTTTGGGCCAGTGCAGAAGTGCCCACAAATCGGAGGGCCGTGCATGCCTGGGTCCCTGAGATAGCAGAACTCAAGGGCCTGGTGGGTTAGCATTTTCCTCCTTCTGACCAACATGGTGGGTTACGTGGTACGAATCAGGAAGTGGCGCGGAGCCACAGGTGTGGCGTGGAGCTCAGAGGGAGGACGATCCCGAGGGCAGCCCTTAGGTAAGGGGCTTGGTGGCAGGTGAGAACCCTGCTCTGCTTCTGAGCCATTACACTAGGAGGAGAGGGTGGAGGGCCAGGCAACGAGTCCTTCTGGAAACACTGGGCTGAGGATTGAAGAAAAGGAAGCAAAACTTTCAACCACCTAAGCTGCCGGCCCTGGACCAGTGCTGAGGAGGCAGGTGACACCGAGCTGTGCGCATTCCCAGTGCCGCGCTGTGGTTTTCAGTAGCGCTGCCCTCCAAAGGAAACCAGGGGCAGCAGGTTGGCAATGCGTGGGCGAGGAGCAAAGTGTGCAACAGGAGCCTGGCATTTCAGAGCACCAAGAGAGCCAGGGAGCTGTCGCGGACCAGTGACAGCCTGTCCTAGCTCTCAGAACTGAAGGACTGTGCATGTGCCCTGTGGTGGCGGGTCGGTGGGGTGCTCCTGCTAGAGGCTACTTGCATGGAGGGCACACCTGTCTCCCAGCTTCTCAGGATGATGACCTCCAGCTGCAGCCTCAGAAGAGCACTCTGCTGTGAGCGGGGACAGCTGGAGCTGTAGGGCTGTCTCTGAGACAGGTCCCTCTTGTCAATGGGCAGAACCACAGTGCATCTGTCGGTCCTTTTTCAAGGACACTCTTTTTTAATTTCACTGAATGGTTGAAATTTACTCATTAACATTTAATTTTTGCCATAGTAGCAATTGAACCCAGGGTTTTGTAGAGCTACATTCCTAGGTGTTTTTTTTTACAATTTAAATTATGGCCAAAATTCTTGCTATGTTGCCTAGGCTAAGCTTGGTGTGTGCCACTGTGCCCTGTCCTTAAAATTTTTGACTCCCAGACCAAGTTTGGGAATTTAGCTCAGTGGCACTGCCCCTACTTCCCAATTGCAAGGTGCTGAGTTTGATCTCTGGTACAAAAAAACAAAACAAAACAAAACAAAAAAAACCGCTGCCTTAACTCCCAGGTCAGTGTAACAGTGGTTTGGGGTCCTCACGGGAGCACACAGAGCCGTGGACACCTGGAGTTTCTGGTGCCTGTGCGGTTCCCTAGTCCAAGTCTTCGATGCTTTGCCCACTTCCTTTAGGTGTCATCCAGCATCCCTCTTGACATTGCTTTGCTGCCACCAGCTTTGCAGTTTGGGTTTTGCCAGTGATTCCCAGTTTCACAGCGCCCCGAGTGTCCTGCTGAAGCGCCTCCTGGTGCTCCCAAGTGCAAGAAGGCTGCGCGTGTCCCAAGGAGAAAACAGGAGTGTTGGAGAGGCTTCACGCGGGCACGAGTCACAGTGCTGTCCGCGTGAGCTCAGTGACCTGGCACCGCGGGCACACACACCGAGGCCTTTCCAGAAGCTCACACAGGACAGGGTGACAGGCTGGCTTATCGGTGGGAATATTCTGAACACAGGCTTGGAGGAACCCAGCGGGTGTCTCCCCCAGAGCGGGGGACAGTAAGTGCTCATCGGTGCTGGCAATGACTTAATCAGGCCCACACGGGCACCGCTGGGCACGACACGGTTCAGCTGTGTCCTGCTGGGGAGTCCCGGCTCCTCCCTGCTGGTCCATGTGTGTGGCAGCTGCACGAGGGCTGACCCAGATGGCCTTGTTCGTGCAGAGCGGGTACCTGGGGCCTAGGCGGGGGCACCTCTTTTTCTGCAAAGGCTTCCCCTCCCCTGATAGGCTACAGCAGGTCCACTCAGGCCTGGCCACCGGCAGAAGCAGAATCTGCCAGCACCTCCACGCCTAGGTTCAGAGGTGGCAGGACTCCCTTCTACCTCTTCTGTGGCTCAGAGCCCGGCCCGAGGGCAGCTCAGCTGCAGGGGGCGGAAATGAAGTTTTTGCTGAGTGGAGATGGGAGATACTGTGGCCACGCTGTGTCTTCTACAGAAGTAAGGGTGATAATTGCAATTCTTGAAAACCTCTCTAATGTGTTAACACCCAAAATCTTGATAAGAGTTTTTCAGCTCCAGGGTGAGAGAGAAATGACAGTTAGTTGTGAGGTCATTGTTTCCAATGTGCAATGAATGAACGGGTCGGGCAGTGATCACCTGCAGGTAAGGCCCACGAGGAGGCCACGTGGACCTGTGTGTGTCCTGTGGAGGCAGCAGCACCTGCTACCGTGTTGACAACAGGTTGGGGCCAAGGCCAGGCGAGGGAGGGTTGGACAGAGAGTGGCTGTGCAGGTGAGACGGCCGAGAGTTCAGCCGAGGGAGAGTGAGGGGCAGAGGGGCCAGCCGTCCTGCAGAATTCATCTCAGCGTCCCTGCAGAATCATGAAGCTGGCCTTTCTATATAGGGCCCATTGTCTGGGCTGGCAGAAGTTCCTTGTACCCTGGCAGGGGTCCGTTTCTCAGGGACAGGCTCAGGCACACTCTGGGTCTTGGTGGTTGCATCCAGGGGCACCTCACGTTGTGCAGGGGACGTTTGGGTGTCTGGAGATTTCAGAGTGCACTGAATACATGTTTGGAGAGTGTTCCTTTTGCATCTGTTCTCTCCTTGGGTATGTGCTCCGAGTAGGAGTGTTGTCCTCTTTAGCTATGGAAGCTACTATGTTTTTATTCACCCCCGAAGAAGGGAGGAGTCGGGCCCACTCAGACAGGGCGGCTGGGCAAGTGCCCTTGCTACCTGTGTGCCTGGCACAGTTGGCACTGTCACACAGAGGTTCTGTATTTGAACAGCTGCTTCTAGGAATTGGGTTAGGAGAGGAACTGGGTGCAAGAGTGAAGCTCGGTGTATGAAAGTGTCCTTTCTGTGGAACTCACTGTGTTGTTAAAGCTCTGTGATCCCACAGGGAGTAGGATGACAGCCACTCACTATATTATATGCAGGCTTCCTCCCTCACACAGGCCACAGATCTTCAAGTGTCTCTGTGATCAACTCCTTCCAATCTGTCCTTGATCCCTCTGGGGGTCAGTATTTCACCTTGCATCAGTGAGCTTCTGTGTGTCATTTCAGTTTGTTGCCTAGGGGGGTGGAGCAGGTCTCTTCCTGTAGTACCAACTGCTTTATGGAAGCCCTGACTATCTGTGGCTTAGCAACACCCGTTTAACTTCTATTTCCTGGGGCATTAAATGCTAGAACAGCCGGTGGAACTTGGTTAGAAGGTTACTTTTCTCCGTTGTATGCCTCGCCCACTTTTAGTATGCAGTTCATTCAGTTCCGCCTCAGCATCCTGGTCCTACCTTGGTTTCCATCTCATAGTTGGGACTGGGCCTGAGAATGCACTGCTCTAACAAGTTCTCTGGCGCTAGCCTGGAGACCTTACTAGGCAAAGGAAATAGGAGCGGCTACTGGTCCTCTCCCCATTTCTGTCACGCCCTGAAGATTCGAACATGTACCCTGGCACGTCCACCGGGGAAGGGGACGAATGCCTTTCTCTTCCCAGGTTTCCCCTAGGATGCCTGTGCTAGTTTTAGGCCCGGTTTAAGTTTCACTTCCGCAGAGGCGACATTCATGGTTGTCGACCTCTCTGCTCTTTCCCCTTCCTATGCTTTCTACCTCTCGAGATTCTCAAGTCAACAGTGAGGGTGAAACTCTCAGGTGCAGCGGCCCCAGGGTGCGCGACAGCGCCTGAGTCTGCACAATCAGGTGCCCACCAGCCAGATCCAGGCGCCCTCCCTTAGCCAGGTTCTGGGGTTACCCACACTGGGGCACCCTGAAGTGGCTTCACGTGGCCAGTCACCCTGGGAGCCACCACAGAGCCCCGAAGCCAAGTTCTTTGAGGTACAGGCAGTTGGTGGTGTGGGAGCTGCCTGTGCGCAGGCGCGGGGCCTGGGCTTGCGCCAAGTAGCCTGGGTGTGCGTCATCTTACGTCACGTCACGTCACGTGCCCAACGGCGGCGAGGCGGCGAGGCGGCGGAGTTGCAGCGCTTGGTGAGCCTCATGGCGGTTTCCTGGTGCGGCCGGGGCGCAGGTCCCTCGAGGTCGTGGGTCCTGAGCTGTCGTCTGCTGCTGCTGCTGCTGCTGGTGTTGTGGCTACCACTGAGCTCGGGTGAGGCTGCCTGCTTCGCCGCTCCCCAGCGTTCCCCTTCCCATCCCGGGCCTGTTTGGGGTGGCCTGTCTTCCTGCCCTCCCCACCCCGCGGTCAGTGCCCTCTGCTTCCTCTCAGGCTGTCTCCAGGACGAACCCGCACTGTGAAGCACCCTGTCCCTCCCCTGCCAGTGTGGCTGGCCATTGCCCCACAACGCCCAGAGTCCTTGTGGCATCCACTTGTCCTCTCAGGAATAATCGGCCACACTCCATCTTCCTCCAGGATCCTGCCCTAGCCCAGCTGCCTCACGGCAGGGGCTTCTTTTTTCTCATAACACGTTCTCGGGCCGTGTCCTTTGACTGTCCCTTCCCAGCTCCCTCTGAAAAGGACCAACATGGCCGCACGCTCCACCCGCTCAGGGTGGGCCTGGAGTCAGCCTCAGAATGCTGTACCTTCCCCTCTCCTTTCCCTACCCCTCTTGTCTTCCTTCATCCCCTATCTTCCTTCTCCCGCTCCTTTGCCGCCTCTGATCACCCCTCCCTTCCTTGTCCTCCCCCTTTTCTTTTCCTCCCCTTCCCTCTTCCCTTTCTTTATTCTTTTCCTCCCCCTTGTCCTCCTCCCTCTCCCATGACTCTCCCCTCCCCATTTCCTTTTCTTTCCTCTTCCCTCCTGTCTCTGTTCTATCTTTGGTCTGTTCCTGTAGCTCCTTGTCCTCTCCCCTCCCCTCTTTGTGCTTTCCTTCCCTTCCTCTCCTCCTTCCCACACCTCCTCTTTTTCTTGCTGTTTCCACCCCCTCAATGCTTCTTTCACTGCCGGCCTTCTTAAAATGATCATTACTTTGTATCCATTCCCACTTACCCCTTAGCCCACTCCTGGAAACTTTCTGTGCTTGGTGGCCCTGACTTTTCTACTCCCTCTCTTTTCATCTTCTGTGGCTTCCCAATCTTCTCTGCTGAAGGGGAACCCCCTTTTCTGTTCCACCAGGCCACACAGATTGTGCTGTAGCTGACATATACCCGTCTTTGAGTTGCTGGTTGGGCCCTGCTTCTTCCCTTGAGGAAGAGAAACTCCCTTCCCTGGAGGGATTCATTGCCCTGAGCATTAGGGTGTCATTTATGTGGGCTCCTCAGAACACAGGGGGCACCTGGGTGTCTCACTCTCATCTTCCCTACAAAGACTTCTCTCACTCTGTTCTCAAACTCGGTGGATGGCAGCCACCCTTCTCTATACCCAGAAACTGGTGCCACCTGGGCCTGCCAGTGTCCCTACATCCCACATACAGCTCACCTTTGTCCTGACTGAGCCACTTCCTCATTCAGACCTCCTCACTTACCTAGGCTTTGCAGAGCGTCTAGGGAACCCCTCTCTTCACCTTCCTACCTGTTCTCTGCTGCCTGGCCCTGTCTCACCGCTCTTGGCCTCCGGAGAGAATCAAGACTCCCTGCCATTGTCTGTCTGTCACTACATAGGCCTTGCTTTTATTCCCAGCATACACCACAATAGTTTCTTCTGCAGGGAATGTTGTCTTTTCTCCCTTGTCATTGTCTTCTCCCCCCTCCTCCTCTTCCTCCTTTTCTTCCTCTCCTCTCCCTTTCTCCTACCTCTCCCCTCCCCTCCCCTCTTTCTTGTACTAGGGGTTGAATCCAGGGCCTTCATACAGAGCTACATCCCCAGCCCTTTTTAATTCTGCATTTTGAGGCAAGGTTTCACTAAGTTGTCCAGGTTGAGCATGAACTTGCCGTCCTCCTGCATCAGCCTCCCAGAGTGCTGGAATTACAGGTATGCACACTATGCCCAGCTCTCATTTCTCATTTATGTTTTACTTCTCATCTTTAAGACCTGGCCCAGTAACTCTTCTCTAGAGGTCTCTTCTATCCACCTTCTTCACATAGGCTTACCTATCCCTGCGCTGATTTCACCTAGGTGATTGTGTATTTATGTATTTCACCCCTGCCTGGGCAGTATGTCTCTCTAGCCTCTAGGTCCAGTTTGGGATCAGAGTAGAAGATTGGAAAGTATTTGGTGAATGAATAAGCTACTGATGTACTCTTTGTTGCCATCCTGTCAAAAGCTCCCACTTCTTTACTGTCTCCTCTTTGTTTTCTAGGTGACAAAGAGAACAAAACCATACCAGGTAGGTCCATGGACCTTACTGTAGGCTTCTGTGAGGACAACAGCATTTCTGGATGGGTAGGAAGCTGGTGTCTGTTCTAATCGGCCTGGTTTCTGAAGAACAGCCTATACCTGCCAGGGATGCAAAGGCAGGAGGATCTGGCCTCCCCTGGGGAGGCACGGTGCCTGAAATTCAGTCTAGACCATAGCCCATGAGGTGATGTGTCTGGAAGGCTGGTGCAGACCCTTCTCCCATTGTTCTGTGTTCTAAGTGTTGTGTGTCTAGCATCCATATCCTCTTTTGTCACCCTTCTAAACTCCTGCCAGCCATGTATGAATGTATGTATAGTTCTATAGGCCTCCCAACACTTGACCCAACTTTTTTTTTTTTTTTTGCCAATCTACAAAAAATTTTGCTTCCTGATATAATTTTCCTTTTATTGAGTTTGAGCTTGTCCCATTGTGCTCTTGACCTCTTGAATGCCTGCTGCTTGTCCCAACCCTTCGTATACGGTCTAATTTTTTTTGTTGATTTTCTAGAGCTCCTGTATATCCTTAAGAAATGCTTGTATTGAAGTGTGTGTTTGTGTGTGTGTGTGGGGGGTGTATGTGATAGTGATACTAGAGGTTGAACCCAAGGATATTGCACTGAGTTACCTCTCTGGCTCTTTTTTATTCTTTGAGGCAGAGTCTTGCTAAGTTTCCCAGGATAGACTCATAGCTTGTGAGCTTCATGTTTCAGCCTTCCAGAGTGCTGGGGTTACAGGGGTATGCCACCAGGCCTGGCTTTGTATTCATTTTAGATACTGCAAATAGTTCTTCCCAATCAGTTGTCTGTTAACTTTGTTCCTGGGACCATAACTCCTTTATTTTTTTTTTAATGTGTTACTAGGAAATTTATTTTTTTTACATAGATTAATTTCTTTTTTATTAAAGATTCTAAACGTACATGACAACAAGAAATGAAGATACTAAATAAAAATTTCAAATATACAGATATATGACAGCAAAAAAAGGAAAAGAAATAAAAAAAATTTATGCAACACAGACTGATAATCCACATACATTATTAGTTTGATCTTCAAACATTATATGTTCTTTCTCATTTTCTTTTCGTATATTTTTGAAATATTGTATTTACAAATAAAACCAAGTTACATATTATAGTTGAGAAACTTCTCAAAATGTTATGATTTATAAACTCCTTGGTTTTATTAATTTGATAAATATCATACACTTGTTGATTCTATCACTTACATTTTCTAACAAAACTTCCTACAGAAAAGAAATATATGTATATTTGAAATCCAAAAACAGCTAAGAGTTCACATTTTTAAGATTTGATTTTTCTGTCTTTTTTATTATATCCCATACTTATTTTTATTATATTGTTTGTAAGCATAATGATAGAATTTAACACCAATACATATGAAATATTCTTCCCAAATGACTATGACTTAAATCATCTAGGGAAATCATAAGATTGCCTCCTTGATTTTAATGTAATCGAATTTTATGGTTTATGGTTTGTGTTTGGAGAGTCCTTAGGAGCTTTGTTTAAGGAGTTCTTTTCCACATATGTTGCATTAGTCTGTTAATTTATAGTTTTACCTTTCAAATTTAAATATTCAAGTACTTTTAGCAGGGTATTGAGTTTTGCTTTCCTTAGTTCTTTCATAGTGAGCCAGTTTCCCAGCACTATTCAGCGGATCATTACTCAGTGATTTTGGCTAACCCTTTATGGATATGGATATCAAGGTCCTTTATTACATGGACCCATCAAGCTCTCTGACCTGTGTCAGTGCTGTGCTGTTTTGGTTATTAGGGCCTTCATGTGTGTCTGAATGTTTGCACCAGCACATGGGGTTCTTCTTTGCTGTGCTTTTTTCAAAGACAGCTCCTCTTGCACTTTGTTTTTCTGTGTCAATTTTAGGTAAATTTATCAAGTCTTTTAAAATGTCTAACATGAGAAAATGAATTTATAGATGAGTTCTGGGAAGAAAATTACATCTAAACTATTGAGTCATTTTATTTAAGAGTGAGGACTATCTCTCCACCTGTATTATTTCCTTTGTCCTTGATCAGAGTTTTAAATTGATTTTGTGTAAAGTATTAGGTTGATTTTTATGTAGTTTGTATTTTTTTGCTCCTGAAAGTGTAACCTGAGTGTATTTTCTAGTTGGTTGTGATGGGATAGAGAAATATTAGTGATTTTAAGAGTAAATTGTTTCAAAGCTGGTCGTGGTGGTGCATGGCTGTAATTCCAGCACTTGGGAGGCTGTGGCAGGAGGATTGCTGCAAGTTTGAGACCACCCTGGGCTACACAGTGAGTTCCAGGGCAGTCTGAATTACATAGTGAGACCCTGTCTCCAAAAAAAAGTAAATTGTTTCGTTCAGGAATTCTGTGCATGCAAAGTGCCCAAACAATGTCCCAGGAATTGTCACACAGTGTACATACCTCTGTCCCATACTGGGATTAAAAGCAGAGAAGTGCTGTGTCCGGAACCCCCTTGAGCTCTCTCAGTTACATCCTCTGCCCCCAGCCCAGTATTCTTATCCTGGCTTCTGACAGATTATTTTTGTTATTTAATGTTATATAATATTTGCTATAGGTGTATGACCTGTAACTTTTTAAAGTTAAGGATTTCCTTCCCCATTAAAGTCATAAATATGTGTTGAACTTTTAAGATGCCTTGTTCTGAGGCCAGAGATTTAGCTCAGTGGTTCTGCTGCCTGACTTGCAAGCACAAGGACCCAAATTCGATCCCCGGTACCAAAAAAAAGATGCCTTGTTCTGTGTCTGTTGAGCAGAGCACATGGTCTTTGTCCCTCTCAATTGCTGGAACTGTTGGGAGAATGCCTTGGAGCTCTCACAGTGTGGGCCCACCCTTGCACTCCTGTGAAGGTTCCCCTTATGAACATGGTATGTTGTTTTTCAGAGCATGATGTTGGCTAATATTTCATTTAGAATTTCAGTGTCTATATTCACTCGTACATTCATGCAGCTGTCCAATTTGACTGTTAAATGATATGCAAACCAAGAGTGTGTGAGCTGTGAGCAAGTGTGTGCAGGGGCCCTCATGGGCCTCATTGTTGCTGGCTCCACATGCTCAATGCAAAGACTTCAGAGTGGAAGTCACAAGCTTTTCTTGACTCAGAGTAGTGTGGAGACCTTTCACATGAAAGAGATACAGCAGTGTAGCTTTTCAGGAGCAAGGTTCAGATGTAAGACTTGCATATTCTTGTCTTGGAACTCTTCTCTTTCTGCCTTGTTAGAGGTCCTGTGCTGATGCTCCCTGTGAATCTTAGTATCTCTCTCCTGTCTTGATGTTTTTTTCTCCATCGTTGTCACTTTATATAGCCACTGCCCTCTTGGAACATCCTTAGTCTATCCCCTCTCTGAAATGGGGCAAGCCCCTGCCTTTACAGCTCTGTGTGGCTTGGCCTTGGATGGCCGCTGGTCCTGATTATTTTTATCCCTCTCTGTGGTCCCTCTGTCCCCCTGGCATGCTTATTTATGAAGTCTGTAGTGAACCCTGGTGGTCAACGGAATTGGATGTGACCCACCGCCACTGGCCCTGGGAGGTGAGCCTTCAGACAGAGAATGAGCACGTGTGTGGAGGGGCCCTCATTGCCCCCGTCTGGGTGGTGACTGCTGCCCACTGCATCCAGAGGTGAGTATGGCCATGCGTCCAAGGACTGGGGACCCAGAGCTGTAATGGATCCAGCCAGGCTCTCTGGTTTCTCTGTGAGCCTGGAAGGAGGGATGAGGAAGAGTGGGAGGAAGAGTCATGCTTGCAGGGAGCAAGGGCTCAGCTGGGGCAGGAGCCCTGAGCAGCATAGCCTGGGTAACAGGAAAACCAGAGCACCTGCCCACCCTCCTGATAGCATCTGTGCACTGAGACCCACATACCTGCAACAGCAGACAGACAAATCCATTTTGAATATACCTGGAGGAGACAGTGCTCGGACCCTGAGAGCCCACAGATGAGACGAGGGAAGCTGGGTGGGCAGAGCAGACCAGGCAGGACTTCTGATGCAGGAGAGCAGGTCCTAGGGAGAGGCAGGTGCATGCTTATATGGGAAGCTGGTGTCTACCAGCGGGGCTCTGTTTCCTGCAGCACTAAAGAGTACTCAGTGGTGCTCGGCACCTCCCAGCTGCAGCCCTTGAACCCCAGGAGGATCTTCTCAGTTCCTGTGAGGGACATCATTATGCACCCCAAGTACTGGGGCCGGACCTTCTTCATGGGTGACATCGCCCTTCTCCGTCTTCATGTTCCCGTCACCTTCAGCAAGTACGTGCAGCCTGTCTGTCTCCCTGAACCCACTTTCAACCTGAAAGTAGGGACACAATGCTGGGTGACCGGCTGGGGCCAGGCCAAGCAGCACTTCACAGGTGAGTGGGGCAGGACAGGGGCTCCTTCTTTTCCTGCCAGGCCTTTCCTGCTGGCCTCTTCATGGTGCCGCTCAGGAAGGCTGTGGGTGTCACCCCTGGCCCCTGGTTCTTTGAATACGTTGGGACCATTCTTTGTGTGGTGACCATTTCCATTGTCACACAGGCACCTCATTCAGGCTGGCAGTGTCCAAGCTTGGTGCAATCATTTGCCTCTTATAGAAACTCAGAGCCAGTTCATTCCCTCCCTTGTTCACTCACTTGACACACTTTGAGCATCTGCCACGTGGCATTGGAAAGACCTGCCTTGCCTGGAAGAAAGTCACAGTGTGGGTTGGGGTGGGACGCAGGCTGACAAGGAAAGTGCAGAGAACTTGTCATATCTTAGGATCAAGTGATCTGGGGGAGTCACTGGGATGAGTTCCTAGCAGAGTTCCTGAGCAACTGGAAGGAGGCACGAATGTTAATTGGGGCACTGGGAACAAATGGCCAGTGCAAACCAGTTTCACCCTGGCTAGAAGTAGCACATGGCCAGCCAAAGTCCCTCCTTAGAAGTGGCTACATTGGCACTTGATGCCAGCCTGCTTGGTTCAGCAGCAAAGCTTTCCAGAGAAGAGGATCCCAAATCAAAGCCTTAGTGGGGAGAGGAGCTTGGCAGACAGGTCTCCCCTGCAGGGGTAGGAGGGGCCGAGTGAAGGAGGGTCCAGGCATGTGTGGTATGGCCTACATTTTGAGGTGACAGGACCCGCTCAAAGGTTGGGGTGTGATTGCTTACCCTGCTGAGTCCTTCCACAGGCAACTCCACGCTGAGCCCAGAGCTGCAGGAGGCCGAGGTGTTCGTCATGGACAACCAACGGTGTGATAAGATTTACCGCAAGCAGTCTCTCTTACCCCGAGTTGCCCACCTCATCCTGGGAAACATGATTTGTGCCACCAATTATGGACAAAACTTGTGCAATGTGAGTTGTAGGGATTCTGGCAACTCTCCTGTTGGGAGCAACTCCAGTGTGGAAGTCACTTCTGGAGCAGGGTTTGTGTGGCCTCCCTCTGTGTTACCATCACCAGGCTCTGCTCTCGTCTTCCTTCCCTGTTGACATTGACTTTGGCTGTATCTCTGGGCAGAGTCCCCAGTGAGGAGCCAAAGGAAGCCCAACTAAGGGAGAGCCTTGAGGGAGTGAGTCTTGTAAACAGCACTCTAGGGTGGGCATCTAGATTCCCAGGAGCCCAGCAAAGCCTCCTCCTCTCTCTTTGTCCAGGGGGACTCTGGGGGACCATTGGTTTGCGAAGTTGAGGGAAGATGGATTCTGGCAGGGGTGTTGTCCTGGGAGAAAGCTTGTGCCAAAGCAGAGAATCCAGGAGTGTTCTCTCGCATCACCAAGTACGCCCAGTGGATCAAGAAGCAGATGAATAGTGACGTGCTCTCAGCTCCCAGCTGCACCTCCTCTTGGCTCCTGTTCCCCACCTGGCTGCTTCTCCCCACCTTACCCTTTGTGTTCTGCATCTGCTGGATGGCATCCATGGAGGTTTGACCAAGGTCATGTGTTCAACTTAGCAAAAAGTTGGGAAGGGGAAGATGTGGCCCCAGGGGACTTGGGTCCTGTTTTGGCATCCCATTATGGACAGGTGTGGTGGATGACTGGGCCAGGAGACTTGGAGAAAGGGAAAGAATGGGTCGGAGGGTTCTGGAGTCTGGAACCAGGATAGCAGAGATTAAAATTGTGCAAATATGAGCTGGCTGTTTTTTTCTCTTCCCTGGAGTGGCCCTTGAAGATGTGGGTGGGGGGGAAGCAGAGCTTTGTGAAATTAATTCTACCAGGAGACTTCATGGGGTGGGGTGTGTATGTGATGTTCTTGGCTCCATCTCTATTGCTGGGCATAAGAAAGGGGCCTGGGTCTCCAGCCTCACTTTCTTCATCTGTAAAATGGTGATCTCATAGAGGAGTAGTCAAAAACTGCTCTGCAGGCGGACAATGGGGACAACCCACAGAAAGTGCTTCCAACTCAGCTTGCTTGCTCACTCTATGTCTCTCTCTCTCTCTTTTTCTTTAAACTCATTATAAAAGCAATGTATGCTCATTGTAAATAGGAAACTAGTAAAGCCTAAATAAGGGAAATACCCCCTGGAGTTCCAGTACATGGAGGTGCCCACTCTTCATTTCAATGAATTTTCTTCTACAGTTTTTTGTTCTTTTTGGTACTGGTTATAAAGCTCAGTACCTATATCCCCAGCCCTACAATTTTATTCTTAAAAAATGGAAGATTACATGCACTCTCGATACATTCTTGTGATTTACTAAAAATAATTATCAGAAATATGTGTACGGATCTTCCCATCTGCCCCCACCACCAATCCTGCTACCCTCTCCAGAAGTAATCATTAACATGCTTAAAAAATCTATAACTTTTAAAATAAATGACACCTTATATATGTATTACTAATAGCCCACATTTTGCAAAAAGATAATTTGAAAGCCTTTCTAATTTGACATTATTCTGCATGTTCTGTGTGGTTTAGCCAGTGCCAGTTTTTGGGTAGCTTCTGGCTTTCAACCTTGCAGTAGCATTCCATGAACATGCTCCTGAGTGTGTGGGGAGTCACAGTTCTGCGTGAATTCTGTTAAATCCACCCCCCCTTGGAATTAGTTGATCATGTAGTATATGACAATTAATGTTTCTCCTTTTGCTAAAAATAGTATTACTGATCTTTTAAATTCTTTTTCATCTAATAGGGAATTGTATTATTACTGTTTTGATTTTTTTTTATTGGAAAGTGTCTTCATGTGTTTATTTTTAAAAGGTATACTTTTTCTCTAGTAAGTTTTCTATTCATATATTTTATGTATTTTTCTTTTGGGTTGCTAATCTTTTCCTTACGGAAGATCTTTACTTTTTCTGAATATTAAGTTTTTGTTTTTCTCAATTTTTTTCCAGTGAGCCACTTTTTAAAGTGTATACAATAGTAGGTATTGTTGCCATAAAGGCCTTTAAAACTATTGAGTTAAATTAGTTTTTACCTTGTCCATGGTTTTTGTGCCTTTCTTAGGGTAGTTTTCTCCATCTCTATGTTGTAAAAGTTATTTTTCCGTATTTCTCATATTTGAATAGTTTTGTCTAATCCATTTGAAATTTCTTTTTGTATATTTTGTGAGGTAGCAGTCTTAACTATTAAGCAGAGAACCACTTTTGTTGACATAATTTCTTAAAGAGTCTGTTCTATTCAAGTGTAGATTTGACCTTTCACACTTAAATAATGAAACCCCCCATTTATTCTCCCTTCATATATTCTTGAGTGTGAATTTGAATCCTGTGTTATTCTTTCATTGATCTGTTTGTGTGTCTTTGGGTTAGTGCTGAACTCTTAATCAGCTTTACTATGTTTTCTTCAATGATGGCAAAGGTTCTTCTCTTCCTTTTGGTACTCTTCTGATGATTGTTTCCTTTCTTCTTTTGTTTTTTTTTTTTTTTTTTTTTTTTGGTACCGGGGATCAAACTTGAGACCTTTTACTTGCAAGGCCAGCAGTCGAACCATTGAGCTAAATCCCTGGATTTCTTCTATTCCTTTTGAACAAAATATTGTATTCTATATGAACTTTGGAATCAGTTCATCAAATTCCATTAAAAATACTATTGACAATGGGCTGGGAATTTAGTGCAGGGGCACTGTGCCTGCCTTGCAGGCCCAAGATCCTGAGTTCAATTCCTGGTACCAGAAAAAAAAAAACGAAACAAAAAACGTAATTCATATGTGTCTGGAATTAAATACCCAGATTAATCTGGGGAGAACTAAGAGTTGAGGTCTTAACCAGGGATGTGGCATGTTTCTCCATTAGGTCAGCGGTTCTGTGTCTTCATTGATTTTATAGTCTTGTTCATAGATGTCTGGAAAAATATTAAGCTTATTTCTGAGTAATTTACAAATTTTGGTTATATTGTGAGTGCTATCTTCTTTCATTGCAGTTTTCCTAATTCTACATGTTACATATTATAAAGCTGTTTGATAGATTTTTTTTTCTAATGATTTTGATTCTTGGCTATCTTCTAAAGCTTTTTTTTTTTTTTGGTTGTTATTGTCAGTGTTGTGCTGGGTCTCACACATGCAAAGTACATAATGTACTGTAAACTATGTTCTCAGTCCCTAAAACTTATCTTTTTAATTCAATAATTTTTTAGTTGATTCTCTTGGCTTTAGGTAATCAATCCCTCTAAAATGATGACAGCTTCAGTTGTGCTTTCTGATCATGAAACCATTTATTTCTATTACGTCATTGGTTGAGACTTGATGACGGTAGGGGACCTATACTGACTTTGACTCCCTTTATCCCTCCATCCCACAGGAATTATTCAGTTAAATCTTTGTGCCAGAGACTATTTGGGGCCATGGTGATGGAATAATAAAATACCCAGATGTTTTTTTGGTGGCTACTTAATTTATTCACATATTGAATTGCATTAGTAGATCAATAGTACTTACAGGTAAATTCAGGAATACGCGGTGCATCCGATTTGCTGGCATTTTATTTAGAATTTTTATCCTACTGTTGGAATCAACATGCTGTTCTGATTTTTGTTCTCCTTGTGTTCAGGTGTGGTGTCATTGCTGTCCTAGCCGCTCAGAACGTATTGAGAAGCTTTCTAGCAGTTCCCTATGCTATAGAGCAGTTTATATGATGCAACTTTCTTGTTCCTTAGGTTTGGCGCATTGTGCACACAAAAACTCCTGGGCCTAAATAACATTTTTAGGGGACAAATCTTCTAACCTTGTCTGGTTTCCTACCTCTCTCTCTCTCTCTTTTTTTTTATACCAGGGATTGAACTCAGGACCTTGTGCTTCCGAGGCAGCTAGATCCTGGGCCTTTCCTACCTCTTTTTTTTAGCTAGTATGAGTCTGTTTTCCTAGAAAAAATTCTTAATTTAGCCTGGATTTACATTTCAAAATGATACATAAAATTTGAACTTATGTTCCCTTATTTCTAATATTTGGATATTCTCCCCTTTTACTGATTATTAAAGATTAAAATTGCCATAATTTTGTCTACTTCATCTTTTAAAAAAACTTCTTTAAAATTTGGAGAAGGGCCTCACTGTGCTTGGAATCCTCTTGCCCAGTCTTCTGAGGAACTGGAATTACAGTTATGTGCCAGTGTGCCTGGCTTTTTTTTTTTTTTTAACAGTCCTGGGAATTGAACCTCAGGTCTCATTCATGCTGGGATAACACTGTACCCCTCAGATATGTCCCCACCCGCTTTTCAACATTTTTACCTTGAGACAGAGTCTTGCTAAGTTTCTCAGGCTGGCCTTGCGCTCAGGATCTGCTTACCTCAACCTCCCAAATAGCTGGGTTTATGTGTGGAGACTCTGGACAAAGGAGTGTTTGAAGTGAGTGTGAAGAAGGGAGACAAGAGTTGGAAAACAGTTCAGGATTCCTAGAATACATGGGTAGAATTTAAATAAAGCTTTAGTATTCTCTCAGCTTTACTACTCCATCCTTCTGTTTTTGGGAGATTTATTTTGTTCCTTTTCTAACTTCTTGAGTAGTATGCTTAGTTCATTATTTGACTTCTTTGGTTTCTCATATTTTCACTTAATTTCATAAATTCTCCTGAGTCCTACTTTGGCCATATGTCATAAGATTTTGTCGATACTGGCCTCATCGTCATTTATTGTATAGAAAGTATGTAATTTCTTGATGGATGGATTGGGGGTGCTTCTCCTTTTTCTCTGTATCACTATATGGATTTAATTATTTCTGCATTCTGGAAGTTACTGAGGCTTTTTTGTGGCTTAGTGTTTGGTCAGCCTTGGTGGATATTTTGTGTGTGTTTGGAATGAAAGTGTGTGTTTTGGAGTAAAGTTTGAGTAGAACTTGATTGAATCAGGTTTGTCGATCATGTTACTCCAACCCTTTCAATACCTGTACGGTTTGTGTGTGCTCAGTCTGTTGGCCACAAGAAGTTAGCTTTGTCCATTTCTTCTTGCAGTTCTTCCAGTCTGGCCTTACACATTTTAGAGCTGTGTTGCTGAAGGGCAGGGTTTGAGCCTGCTGCGGCACATTATTGACATGAATGTGCCCCGTCCTACCAAATAGGGCTTGGTTTTTCATTTATCTGGGTAATTCTTCACTGTTCCTTCTGAATCTTCTTCTAATTGATTAAAGCATCATTTTCTATTTTGTGCTTGTTTGCTGCAGGTTTTCCTTGGGTTTATTTTTTGCCTTTTGTAGTTCCTTTGATCTAAAGATTTAATGTGTTTGTTTTCTTCTTTGCTATTCAATAATTAATGACTTTAAGATTGGGAATTTGCCTTAGACACACTCAGTAAGTTAAAACAAATATATTGCTATAATTATTAGTATTTTCTAAAAGTTTATAGCGTGCTTTTTAATTTCTCAAAATAATTTCACAAAGTTTAAACATTTATGCCACATATTGAACGCAGGGTTTTGGGCACACTAAGCATGTGCTCTACTGCTGAGTTACACCCCCCAGCCCCAACAAGGCTTATTTGTAAAGTTTTCTTTTTCGCTTACTTTTTTTATTCTTATTTTGGTACCGGGGATCGAACTCGGGTCCCTGCGCTTGCAAAGCAGGCGGTGGAACCACTGAGCTAAATCCCCGGCCCAAGTTTTCTTTTTCTTCCTTTTATTTCTTTATATCTCTAGGGTTCAAATCCAGAGCCTCATGCGTGCTCAGAAGCACTCTCCTACTGAACTAACCCCCAGTCCTGTTTTTAGGTTTGCAAATGATTTGGTTTATTTCATTTACTCTTTTGTTGTTAAATCATTGTTGCCTTCCTTTGTGGTAAAAGAGGTGGTCCTGACCCATCAGCATTAGAGAAGTTGTGGTTTTCTTCTAGTCTAATGTACAGTTGGTTTTTAAAGCCAGTCCAGTGCTCACGGACAGAATTGGAGAGGACTTTTTCACTACAGGTGAGGCTTCAATTTGACCATATATTGCTGACTCATTTTGCTTGATGCCTTTGATATTTTATTGGTGGATGGAACTTTATGACCTTACGTATTCACTGTAATTATTCTTAATTTAAAACAACTTTCTTTTTCTGTTTAAAGCTCCTATCCTGAATCATTTTCAAGATTTTTACTTCTGTATACTTTATATATGTGTAGTTGTATCATTATATACATAATATAGTATGTATGTATAAAAAAACTATATATAGTTTTTTGTGGTTTGTGGTATTGGAGATTGAACCCAAAGCTTTTGCACTGAGCTACATTCCCAGCTAATTTTAATTTTTCTTTTTTCATTCTGAGGTGGAGTCTCATGTATCTTCACTAAGGTGCTAAATTGCCCAGGCTGTACTCCAGCTTACGACACTTCTGCCCTGGACTCCCAGAAGACTGAGATTACAGGTATGTGCTACCATATTCAGCTACAGATCCTTGCCTTTTACAAGAAGAGTTTTATGTATTTACATTGATCAGGATAACAAGTGTACTTGATTTTTGTGCTGTTAACTTTACTTACTTATTGGTAATTCCCCCCACAGTATTAGTTTCCTCAAAGGTGGAAGAGTAAATGGAGAGTTGCATCTCAGGATAACTATATCCTTGATTTTCTACCACACATCCCTAAAAAAGAGTTTGTTTCACCTGTTTTTGAACTTGATACAGTGTGTACCTTCCCTGCCTGACCTTCTTGCATTGTCAGTGAGTTGCCCTATGCAGCTCTATGTAGCAGCTGGCTGCCATCTCCTGCTGGGGTGACCCATGCATCTGTCCCTGTTGGGCACAGGTGGGCAGTGTCTAGCGAGGCCTCCATAGCAGCCTGCTGCCAATGGTCTGCGTGTCTCCTGCGTGTGCGAGCTGCTGCTGAGGTGCATGCCATGAGTACAGCTGTGAGTTGTGAGCTGGTGCAGTTCCTCCTCTGCTGAGCAGCTCCCGGTTTCCTCTATGGCCCTCATGCCAGTTCATGTCCCTTGGCAGCATGGGAACAGCTCAACCGTACCCTTGACAACACTGGCATAGCAGAAGTGAGCTGCTGTCAGAGACAGTGTGAAGAGCGTGGGATCTTTGGGGAAACATCAGTGGAGAAGTGGGTAGGTTTCCTGAGATGTCATTTACTCCACTGATTCATGCAGACTCAGGTCTTCAAGCTGCTTCCCCTCAGAAAGCCACTTTCCCTTCCAGAAGCCACCTTCACAAGTCAGAAACACTTGCCTCTTACCCAGGAGCTGTGCTTGGGAAAAACACAGCTCCCAAGGAAAGGGAAAGCTCTACCTGCACATCAGTCATCTGCTGCAGGAAGTAGCCTTCTCTCAATGTCCGGCTTCTACACCTCTAGGTCCTGCTAGGGGCTTCCCAGGCCCAGCACCTGGTGCTGTGGTGAGCCAGACACATGCCATTGTCTCAGGCTCAGAGCTAGTCCTGGGCCAGGCATCGCCTCTGGGCCCTGGCAGGGCCTCACTGCGACCATCCACCACCTCCTCAGACCTGAGTCGAGGCCTTAGGAGCCCCTAACCTGGGCAGAGCATGAGCTGGCCTGGAGTTCTAGAACCCTGGCACAGTGGAGGTGCCCCTGCCCCTGCCTGTGTTGTCCACCCTGCTCCATCCCACAGACTGATACCTGCTCACCATGGCATGTGGGTTGGGGGACCTGCAGGCCCGGACACCCCCACTGCCCTCTGCTGGGCTTGGGCATCAGCCTTACAGGGACGGTAGGTCCTCAGGATGCCTGGGGGCCTGCAGGCCTGCACCATCCATGTTGATGGAGGAATGGGTATTGTCTGTGACCTTACAGGGACCCATGTGACCTTTATGGCCCACTTGATGTTGAGACCGCTCTCATTTTCAGGGTGACCATGAACACATGAGTGAACAAACTGACCATGGAATAGGTGGGCGGGTTTGAGAGGACCGGCACCTGTGAGTGTCAGCATGGATGCTGAGACGCCTGTCGGGCACTGGTGACGGTGGTGAGGACATCATTCCACGTTGGGAATCCCCTAGCCCTAGAGCTTAGTGGCTCATGAGAGGAGGAAATCAGGAGTCAATGCTGGCTGTCAGTAGACCTTAGGAGTGAGAAATTCAGGACCACAAGGAGCAGGACCTCCAGCTCCCATTGGATCCAGCCATTCAACCACTGGTGCTTTTGTGGTGGCAACCCTGCCCCACCTGACCTGCCAACTGCTGACTGTTCTTGTCAGAGAATTAGTTGGGGTGGTCTAGGTGAATGGACTTGGTCATTTTCTATCACTGTGTGACAGCCCCTCCTGGATGAGTGCTTTGCTGAATGAATTGGTGAATGAATAAATGGGCAGGCTCTGGCTCTGGGCCTGGTGGAGCTGCTCTCCAGTGTATGTGCTGTCCCTGGTGGGAGGGCCACCTGAGGCTCCTCAAGGCTGATACCTGGGCATCTGCTGGTGTCGGTGTTGGTATCAGTCCCAAGGCCAGTATGAGTTTTCTGTGGCCATATAAGTGTGGGAAGGACTTGCTTGTAAGTGGCAGTGCTGTGACCTGGGACACTAAGAAAGGGTGGAGACCAGGGTCTGTAGTGGAACCCAGTTGAGCAGCTGAGGGTCTGCCGTTTATGGAACTGTGACGAGCCTGGGACAAGGTTGATCTGTGACACCTTGCACCTCCAAATAAGCAACTGTGACCCTCTCATATTTGTCTTCTGTACTTAGTGCAGAAATATCTACCAGGCTAGATCCTACAAATCCTGTGTAAGGTTTTGGGGAAGGAGGTTGAATCACCACTGTCCAGGATGCAAGTTCTGAGAAGCCCCCTGTGTGAGCTCCTATAGAACCTGGCCAAGTAGACCTTCGCTTCATGAGAAAGGAAGGGGCAGGCTCCTGGAGACCCTCTCCTTGTTCTTAAAGATATGGAGCTGTCTTGATTGGGGTGGGCTATCATCTGAAAAAAAAAAAGAAGCCATAAAACCTCCACAGTGCATGAGAAGGACCAGAAACCGTTAGCAGGGAGGAAAGAGGCAGGGAGCACTACAGCAAGACAGCACTGTCTGGAGACCAGGGCTCTGTGGAGGCCTGGGTGAGGGCGAATGCCTCCAACCATGGGAGTCTGTGGTCCTGCTGGCCCTTTCCTTCTGGTGGTGACAGGAGCTGTGAGCTCAGACGTCTGCAGTCCACGCTCGTTAGACTTGTGTTATTGCAGGGACACACCTGAGGTGGCTGCTTAGGAAGTCCAAGTGTAGTTAGTCACAGTTTTGGGGGCTCAGCATCCCAGGTGTGCTGGGGTGGTGGGCTGGGTGGGGAGCATGGCTTTGCCTCCTGGTGAGGGCAGAGGTGGCAGTAGCAGAGTGTGTGTCTCAGCAGCCAGTGCTTACATCTCGAAGGGAGACGGAGTGGCTGACTGGAACCGTAGCTGTCTGGGATTCCCTGGGGATTCGGTGGGGTGGGGCCCGGTATGTCTGGGTCCCCCTAGATAGTCACTGTATCTGTTTACTGTCCCTCCTATCACCTCCACCCACCGTGACATCCCCCAGAAAAGGCAGCTTGTGACCACTGGGAGTGCGTCCAGCGTCACTTCTGCGGGAGACCTCCAAACTCATGGGACAGCTTGTTGGCATCCTGGGCTCGACAGCAGGCTGTAAATAAGAAACCCTTCACTTTTCTTTAGCCAGGGCTCCAGCCCTTGCTTATAGGCTGTCTTCTCTTCTTCCCCATGGATAATGTGTCACTAAATACCAGGGAGAGGTGAGAAGGGAGTATGCCATCGTCCCCATCCCGAGACCTCCCCCCAGGGTGTGGTCCTCTCAGGGTGACTGTGCAGCCATGTAGGATTTCTCTGTGGCTACAGTGGACTGCCCGCCCTGCCCATTGTGCCTGTCCCTTACCTGCTGCTGACAGCCCACTCTTCAGATGTGCTCTCTGCATCACTTCCTGTGGGCAGAGATGCACCCTGGGGTGATGGCTCAAAGCAAGCCTGGCAAGGGTCCTCCCTGCCTGTCTGGTCATCCTGTCTTTGGACTTACAGCTGCCAGTTTGGGGGTGTGAAGGTCCCTCCCCGTGTGTGCGGGAGGCAGCAGCTGCATGTGACACTGTGCCCTCCACCTCTTTCCCCAGATCCCTGGTTCTTGGCATGCAGTCAGACTAACGTGTCCTGCAAGGTGGTCCAGGTGAAGCTGGGGGAGGTAGGCAAGTGGCCCTGGCAGGTGAGCATCCTCTTCCTGGGTATGCACATCTGCAGTGGCTCGCTCATCCACCGACAGTGGGTCCTCACAGCTGCGCACTGCCTGCTGAGGTCAGTTGGGCCTGGGCCAGGGGCTTTGCTTTGTGGCCAAGTCTGGGAGTGGGAGTGGGGGTTGGGGGGGTTGTGAATCCAGGAATTGTAGCAGAGGGTGTGGCTGGGTGACCCTGGGCTCAGCTGTGTCTCCTGAACTACGCCTGGCCTCACTGCCCACCCTCTGCTTCCTCCTGGCCCTGCAGATCCAAGGACCCTACACAGTACTCTGTGAAGGTGGGAGTCCAGCACCTCCCAGACGACAGCACACAGCTACTGGTCACTCACATCATGATTCATGAAAATTTCACCGACCTCGTGTCCCAGGACATTGCCCTCCTGAAGCTCAAGGACCCCATCTCCTGGTCCCCCCTGGTGCAGCCCATCCTCCTCCCCAGTACTCGTTCCAAGCCAACCGTGGGGTCCACGTGCTGGGTGATTGGGTGGAGAAAGCCAGGGACTAAAGGTGAATGCGGGTAGGCAGGGTCCCGAGACACCTTCCCTTCCTGACACAGCCCCATCATGGGCTCATGGGCTTATTGTTTGATTTCTTAATCTACTCAATCACTGTCTGCATACGCTTTCTGGGTGCCTGGATTGCTTCATGCTGCCCTGGTCCCTGCGTACCAAGATATCCACAGTATTCTAGCATAAAAGAGACAAGTGGCCTGTATGGACTTCAGTTCCCAAAATGGGTCAGTCCAGTGCCAAGCCCTTGCCCTTGCAGCATGACAGGAAAGTAACCTATGGCTATTAAGGGCCCATGCTGCAGGTGGCACAAGGGCCATGATCTCAGGAGGCTGAGGCACTTAGGAGCCCTTTCTAGCCTTTGGGCAAGCTGGTTACCTGGAGGGACTGTCATTCCCAGAGGTATGGCCCCTGTTGGTCCTGCCCAGGGTCATGGCACCTGGGAGCCTTCATGACGTGTGCTGCCTTCCAGGGTAGGGGCACATCTGGGCTCTGGGTCTTACTTCCTTGCCTGGTGACCCTCCCAGATCCTAAATTACTGGGGAAATCTCTCCTCATCTCATTTGGTGCCTGCCTGCCACTCCAAGCTGGAACCTTTTCAAAAGTTAGGCTCTGAGCTCTTGAGGCCTTCATACACCCTCATCCCAGGAGATGACCTGCCTCTCATGTTAGCGAACTCCGATGACTCTGAGCTGGACACAGGCAATGACAAGACAAGGTCTTTCCCTCCTCAGGGGCCTCAAGGAACCACTACCGTCTTCAGGAGGTGGCCACCAGGATCATAGACAGTCGCATCTGCAGTCAGCAGTACAAGTTCCTCCTCTCGAAGGGCCAGAAGAAGTTCATCGGGGATGACATGCTATGTGCCAGCTCAAACGTGGGCTTGGACATGTGCCAGGTATGGAATGTGTGCAGGGGACGAGGAGGCATCTGGGGCCATGCCTGCCTTTGCACATGGCACAAAATCTCCTTCCACTGGGCTTCAGTGTCCCACTCTGTGAAACGGGGATGAAATACCTTTGCTCGAGTCCACAGTGAGGGAAATGGTGGCAGCTCTTCTCAGTCACGTGCAGGTCTGGGCCAGGTCCTGGCATAGCCAGTTTTGCATAAATGACATCATTCCATAAGTGGACTTCTGGACTTACATCTCCTGTTCAGTATTGTCTTTATATCCATACAGCTGTAAGTCGTTAACAGCGCTATATTTTCTTTGGCATCTCTGCCACAGTTTACCCATTCTCTCATTTAAAGAGATTGAAGGAGTTTCCAGTTCTTTCCTCTCATAAACTCTCCTGCTGTGGATGTTCTCACACACATCCTTCCATTTACATGTGCAGGATTTCTCAACAGGATCCTGCACAAATGGGTCCTAGATTGAGTTCATGTTCATTCATCTTTACTGTCAAGTTGCCAAATTTTCCAGAGTGGTGATATCAACCTCAGTGTCCTTACAGCCAGTGTTTGGTGTTGCCAGACAATGAAATGTTTTCCATCCTGGTGGGTGAGAAATAGCACCAAGGGGGTTGTAATACAGTTACTAGCGCACTTGTTCATCTTGTGTGTTTATTCACTATTCACAGTTCCTCTTCTGTGATATTGCTAACTTGTATACCTGCACATTTCTCTATTTGTCTTATTATTTTACTGTACTCTGGATATGAATTCTCCATTCATTATATATATTGTAAATATCATCCCCCAGCTTTTCATTAATCTTTTTTAATGCTGTCCTTTGCTGAAGAGCAGTTTCGATTTATTTTAGTCAGATATTTCATGTTTCCTTCCTGGTTTATGCTTTTTGTCTTTTAAGAATTTCTTCCTTTTCCTTGAGGTCATAAAGACATTCTGTATTCTGTTTCTAAAGGTTTGGAAATTTTGGTTTCCATATTTTGAATCATTTGGTAAAAGGTGAAAGATGGGTCTATTTTCATTTATTTTCTGGTATGGACTAGCAGCTGTCCCAGGGCAATCACAGGAAAAGGATTTCCTGCATCCACCATACCCTCTGTCTTTTGTATCAGTCTTCTGCCTGACGGGTCAACTTCTTGGTTTTATACCTAGGTCATGCTTTGTTGGTTCTTCTTCCTTCCTCATACAAATGTTTGAGGTTGTAAGTTCTGCTAAACATTGTTCTAGCTTCATGCGACCATTTTTGATAAGTGGTATTTTTATTGTTACTCAGTTCTAAATGTTATATGTCATTTTCATTTGGTTTTCTATTGACCCGGGCATACTGTTTGTTGTTAGTGATTTTCAACATCTTCCCGGTAGTCATAAAAATAGATCTGTAATGGTACCAGCTGTGTGGGACATGCTGAAATATCTTTGGTTGCCTAATATGTAGTTATATTTCTTAATGTTTATTTCATTATTTTCAGTTTCTAGTAATTTGATTTCCTTGGGTTGTTTGGTTTCTTTTTATGCCTTCTTGAGTAGAAAAATTTATTCTTTCTACTTTTGTGTTTAAAGCACATATGGTCATGAAACCATCCTTGATTTGAACTCTTAATTCCTCTCTTAAATTTTGTACTGTTGTGATTCCATCATCACTGCTTTATTTTAAAATATGTTTTATAATTTGGAAGGGAATACACACATTTTGTTTAAAAATAATACATAAGGGCAGAAAGTAGAAAATGAGACTTTTCCATAATCAGACTACCTAGAAATTTCTTCTGAAGTGCTTATGTCCCTAATACTTCTCTCAATACACACAAAAGATGCCAATAAATTTTTGGGGGGGTTTCCCCTCCTTTTTTTTTGTTTGTTTTTTGAGATCGGGTCTCACTATGTAGTTGAGGCTGACCTTGAACTTTTTTTTTTTTTGCTACCAGGGATCAAACTCGGGACCTTGTGCTTGCAGAGGCAGCCACTGGAACCACTGAGCTAAACATCCCTGGCCCCTGGCCTTGAACTTTTTTGATCCTCCTGCCTCAGCCTACTGAAGGCTAGGATTACAGGAATGTGCAACTGTGCTTGGCTTTGGTGTTTGATTTTTTTGTTTTTTTGTTTTTTGGTACTGGGGATTGAACTTGGGTCCTTGCAAGCGCTTGCAAGGCAGGCCACTGACCAGCTGAGCTAAATCCCCAGCCCGGTGTTAGATTTTAAACAAAAGTCTTTTATATAGTTTTATTAATTCAACATTTGAATTTTGTCTCAAGATGTGTCTTGGATTCCTTTCTCTGTTTATACATTTAAATAGACTTCATTGACCTTGCCTATTGAAATAATTCTTTTATATGGCTGTACCACAAGCTATTTAACCATCTTCTGGTTGGTAGGTACTTGAGCTCTTTTCAGTATTTTCTTTAACCAAGCCAGAGTAAAAGTCTTTTTCTTTTCTTTTCTCCCTTGTCCCTCTCTCCTCTCTCCCTCCCTGCTCTATCTCCTTAATGCAGTACTGGGGATCAAACGCAGGGCCTTCACACTGCTCTTTATCTTTTATTCTAACACAGTTCTCACTAAGTTGCTAAATTGTCTTGTGTGTGCTCACACTTAAGAGCCTCTTGCCTCAGCCTCCCAGAGTGCTGGGATTACAAAAGTGCATCATCACACCTGGCTCACAGTATGTGTCTTTGTTCATGTATCTTTTCTCATTTGTTCAAGTATTTCTCTAGAATAAATTTTAGAAGTGTAATTGGCAAGATCAGTTGTATGTAAGGTGGTTTTTTTTTTTTTTTTTTTTACCAGGGATTGAACTTGGGACCTTGCACTTGCAAGGCAGTTGCAGTACCACTGAGCTAAATCCCTGGCCCTGTATGTACATTTTAATGGATATCAATACATTTGTCTCTCCAGAGGTTTAATCCATTTCCCCTAATCCAGTGGTAGAGAGATGAGTGCCACTTTCCCATGTTGGCACTAGGATTAAACATTATCTTTATTTTAACTTTATTTTTTTTCCCACAGAGTTATACTTCAGCCCTCTTTTAATTTTTGTCCTTTTGGTAGGCTAAAATTTCTTATTTTTGTTTTAGCTTCATGAAACTGATCAAATTTTGTAAATTGCCCATGTAATACAAGGCTACTAAATGGGAAATTTCAACCATGGCATCAAAATACAGTCCATACCAGAGTTCAGAGAGATACATAACTGATGCCCCATGCAGTGTGTAGAAGAGAGGATGGCATGGCAGGTGATTTTGTGAGGAGAATTTCCTGGAGAGAATTTCTCCTACAGTCTCTTCATTCTCCCCTTAAGGGACTGTGGGTGGGGTGCCTGTCCAACCAGAAGAAGGGGTTCAACAGGACCCTCACGGAGCGTGGTGTACCCTGGAGCTGCGCATCAGCTGTGGGCCCCTCCAGGCCGCGGGGCGCCCGTGTGGACAGCTCCTCCCCGTGCTGTAACCCAGAGGCCAGGCTGGCGGGATGGCTCCTCAGTGGCCCCGGGCCAGGCTGGCTGCTGCAGGACTTCAGGGAGCTTTCTTCACAAGTCTAGCTCTGTGATTGTTATGTGGGCTGCACATTGTGATTTCTGCACTGAGATGTTTACGCGACAGTGTAATCATAGTGAGTGCAAGTTCTGGTTCTGCCAGTTTTTACTCAGGACTGAGGAAAACACTAACCTTCTAGATACATTTCAGAGGACTGAAGGGAGTCGGGAAGGAGGCAGCCTCTTGGCTCAGTGTCCCCTTTTCGCTGTCCCCTGTGTTCCGCCCACACCCTTCCATCAGAATCTGCTGCTTCTGTTGGACGATAAAAACTGCACAGGATGCTTCGTGGTAAGGAGAGGTAAAGGAGCATTCCGTTCCTACAACTTCACTTCAGATGGCTGATAAACATTTAACTGCATGTGTGTATGTATATTTAATATGGAGAAATAATATAAAGCAAATATGTTAACACTGACAGTGAATCTGGGTGAGAATATTATACTTACGCCTTTTTTGTAAGTCTCAAATTACTTCAAAATAAAAAGCCATGAAAAACTCTGGGCACTAAGAATTTTAACCCTCTGTAAAATGCTTTACAGTGTTTATCCTGTTTGTTTGTTTTTGGGGGAGGGCTGTAGATTTTTCCCCCATAGAATTACATGCAGTTTTTTATATTTGCATGTTTATCATTATTTCCCTTGATGATTTTAGGGTTTTTTCCCCCCTATGTAGAAACATTTTCCATACCCTCAAACTATAAAGTTATTTATGCATCATGTTCTATTTCTTTTTAAAATATGTTGACTTTGATTTACTAGAGATTGAGAGAAAGAATCCAGTTTTATTTATTTATCCCCAAGAGGCTGGTTATGGGAAATGTCTTTTATTGAACATTATTTTTTTGCTGATGAATTAGAAGTGCCCCCTTTATTACATTCTAAATCAGTCTTACTCTGGTCTCTTTCTGCCCTTCCATTCTCACCTGTATGCCACTACATATCTTTCTGAACTGTTGCAGTTTATAAATTAATTCTTGTTTTTTTGCAGTTAGGCAGGTCCTCCATTCTTCTTTTAAGGAATTTACCCGACTGTTCATTCTAATCAAACAATCTTACATAGTGTGGTCAAAAGGAAAATCACTTGAAGTTTTTGGTGGAAACTTTGGTCAATTTAGGAAAAAGGGACTCTCTCTTTTGCCCTTTTTCTCTCTCCCTAAAGCAGGAGTTGGTAGCTTTACTCCATGTCCTTAACTGCTGCTGCTTAAATTGATTCTCAGGCATCACATATGATGTTCTTCTTGTGACCCCTATGATTTTTTTTGTTGTTTTCCATTTGTAGTATAAATTTTGTTTGTCCACTTTGTAAAAAGCAACCCTCCTGAATCTAGTTGATTCTCTTCAATTTTATAGGCCCAAGACATTTCACCTGCGAACACCAGTGTTATCTTTTTTCCCTAGCACTTCTGAGAGACCATCCTTTAATCCAGTGACCAAGATTATTTTTCTGTTCCTCCTGCCTTGCATTTTGGGTTGAGTATTTCCCTGCAATCCACTTATTTCCTTTTGTGATATAGAAGTTCTACATGTGTTTCACGCTATTACTGGTCACCTGCTGTGGTGTGAGTGTGTCCTTGGGCCACAGGCTGGTACCCTTGGGGCCAGCAAGCACTGTAGGAGGTGGGACTGGGAAGTCTGAGGTCCCTGGAGGTGCATTCCTGGAAGGCAGTTCTCAGGCAGGACCTTGCATTCTTGCAAGAGGGCTGTTAGGAGCAGAGTGTGCTGGCCCAGTTCTCTCTGCTTCCTGGCTCCGGATGTGTCGCGATCTGCCATCCCCTCATCAAGCTGTGCCAACCCAACACAGTCACTGTGCTCTTGCACCTCCACAGCTGTGAGCCGAAGAAACCGCTTTTCCTCGTGAGTAGGCTGTCAGATGTTCCACTGCAGTAACCAAAAGCTAATACATAATCTTTTACTTTCCACACACCCATTTAAAATGGAATTAACACTGAGAGTTAGTCCATATCTGTGGCGGCCTCAGCAGCACTGGCACCTTCCTGCACCCCCAGACTTCCTCTCTTGTTGAAAACACCAGTCATCCCTCTTGGTCATGTCCAATTTCAGCTTCACACATCTTTGTATTTAGATTCATTTCTTTTCTAAGAACATATTTTAATTCATTATGCTTTAAAGCCTTTGCTATCCTGAGAATAAAGATAGAAGTTTTCTAGGGAACAGAGTCCTCTGTGTGAAAATATTATTTTTTATAAGTGCAAAAAGAAGTACTTTTTGGGATAAAGGCTTATATAAGGATAGGTGCCATTAAAAAAGTAGAGTCCTGGGCGAAAATGTCAGTGCTGAGAAATGGATCATAAGTACCTAAGTGCTGTGTTAGGTCACTGTGAAAGTAGACCAGGAAGTCTCAGCCAAGGGGCAGTGTGGGTTTTTCGCTTTCACTGAGCCTGAGAATCGTACCCCACAGCTCATCTAGGTACCTCAACACCCCAGAAAACCCACTAGCTCAGTTTACTTCATTTTCATCCGACACCCATGATGCACTGGGCACTGAGATAACGTCAGTCCAGTCCAGGAAGGGACTGAGCTCTAGAACACACTGCCTACCTCAGAGCGCAAACCATGTGGCCTTTTTGTCCTGCCAGGTTAAGGAGTGTAGAGGAAATCACTCCCTTTGTCAAGTTGTAGTATCAGGAATATCTGTGCATCACATGAAAAATATTTGTCCATGTTCTGGAACATTTGAAATAACATAAATTATCTCCTCCTTAAACACAGACTAGAAGTTGCCTACAAAACCACAAAGCTGTGTTTTCCTTTTGAGTTGCTGTTCTTGGGCAATATTTTAAGTTGTTTTGCACATAGTTATTGGGCTAGTCAGGCTTTCTATTGCTGTTTAAGTTAGTCTAAGTGATTTACATTTTCTTAGAAATTATTCATTTCATCCAGAGTTTAAATCCACCAGGAGGAAATGGTAAACAGTCTTGAGATTCTGAGAAAATATATTTTACTTAACTGTGATTCTGGTCTCTATTCGACTCAAACCGCAGAGTACTTGTATCTCTCTCTCCCTCCCTCCCCCACCCCTCTCTCTCTCTCATTATGTAGAATTTAAAAGGTACTTATCTATTTTGATCTTTTACTTGGTGCTGGGGATCAAACTCAGCACCTTACGCTTGCAGGGCAGGTGGTGGCACCACTGAGCTAAAACCCCAGCTCTATTTTTATCTTTTTTAAGGACATTGATTTCATTTCCCAGCTCCATGCTTTTTCTGATTTCTAATGCACAAATTATCTCCCTGTGTCTTTCTTAATTCTTTCTCAAATGTTTTGATCTGGACATGAAGTGATATATAATTGTTGATAATAATGAATAATTTATTTTCATCCTCTCTCATTTGATACTAAACATATTTCAGGCCAGAACTATCCTTGGTGCAGTGTAGATCCATATCCCATGGGCTTTGTTCTGTGTGGTGTTCTTATGTTTCTATATTCTAATTATAGATTTTAATTCTAGTTTTTACTTTAACATTTGTGAAAGTTGATTTTTAGTTTCCACGGAGGCGGTGGCTTACATTTTGTCACTGAGTACTGTTTTTATTTCACTGTGGTAGGAAAACGTCCACATACCATGATGTCGCTTCTGCAGTTCTCTTTCCGTGTGCTCTCTGTTCACTGGGCCTCTAGGGTCTTGTCAGTCGCTTATTTAGGCACAGTTGCTGATTGGATTAGCACTGGCTTGGTATTTCTCCTTCATCATTCATGTTCTCTCCTCCTCAAAGGGGTCTATGGCCGGGCATGGTGGTGCACACTTGTATTCCCAGCTGCTTAGAAGGCTGAGTCAGGAGGAGCCAAGTTTGAGGCCAGCCTTGGCAATTTAGTGACTGTCCCAAAATAAAATTTTTAAAAAGGATTGGGAACGTGGCTCAGTGGTAGAGCACTAACCTAGGATGTGTGAGGCTCTGGGTTCACTTCTCAGTACCACACAGAAAAGAGCATCTATCTACTCAAATCTATTTAATACACGTCTTTAAAGATGTCCCTGTCCTTGAACAATACATGTGCTCCTGTGCACTACACATTCCCACCTGCTCTTGTTTATGCAGGAATTTCAGTTTGTTTGGATAGTCCCATTAAATAGCTTTATTCTTTGAAATCTCTGCCCCACATGTCCACATCATTCTGATTGGAATTCACAGTTTTCAGTCACTTTAGTTATGAAACTTAAGAATCGATTGGTTGACACTGCACTTCATCCCCCCCCCCGCTTGTCATTTCTACTAGTCACGTGGTTCATTGTTTATCTTCAACAACATCTCATTCGTAATGTACCTTCACTGAACATGTAGCCTTCATTCTGGTGTAATTAAGCTGGATGTATTTCTCCTCTTCTGATCTGTGAGATTTGAATCTTTTTTTTTTTTTTGAGATGGGGGTCTTGCTACCGAGTCCAAGCTGGCCTTGAACACACTGTGTAGCTCAGGCTGACCTCAAACTCACAGTGACCCTTCTGTGTCAGTCTCCCAAGGGTTACCTGCATGTACCTCCAGTTCCAGCTTTGAATCTAGTTTTAAAAATATGCTTTGTGTCAGGGCATAAAGCCATGGCCCTGTATGCTTTTAATGAGCTTTTACACTTTTCACATTTAGTTTTTCTTCCTCTGGATTGTTTTATGGTAGGATCTAATTTCATTTGTCTCCATCTTTCTGGTGAGCCAGTTTCTGCACTGTCTACCTCAGAGTCCTCCTCCCCTTGGGGACCCAATAGCTCTGTAACCTACTACAGGTCCCTGTGTGGACAGTCAGCTTATGGGCGTTCCACTGCCCCTTGGTCTGTTTTCCTGCTTCTGTGCCCATCTTCCCTGTTTCTGTAATTATAAGTGTTGACTCTGCCCCCAGCCTGACTTCAAAAAAGCTGACCTAATTCATGGGCTGTTTTTCTTCAACTTTATTCTAGGGTCAGACTATCAAGCTCCTAAAAAACAACAGCAACAACAAAAACCCTGCTCTAATTTCTGTTGGAAATGCTTGATCTTTAGAGGTTTGCATAAGAATGAACACTATACACACACACACATACATACATACATACACACACACACAATTTTATATATATATAAATTATATATTTAAAATTTGGGGGTGTATCAGGGATTGAACTCAGGACCTTGCATTTGTGAGGCAGGCGGCAGAACCACTGAGCTAAATCCCTGGCCCTACCGTTATAATTTTTAATTGTTTCATCCTATATTGGATAGAGACAAAATAATATTCATAAAATAGGTATAGAGAATAAAGAACAACTCAACCACCACACTCACCAAGCCCTGAGAAAGATGCTTGACACACGTGAGACCCACAGGCCAGGTCCCTGTTCCAAGCCTTGGAGGCTCCGACTTGTAGTTTCTCGGAGGTGCCTGGCTCGTGGTGCCTCAGTTTCCTTGTGCACAGGCTTGGAGGGGTGAGGATGTGGTCTTTCGAATGTTATCTTGGGGACAGCTGCACAGCCACCAGTTTAAATGGCATCCATCCTCAGCCAAGGTCTTTGAATCCCCCTGACTGTGAATCCAGGCTGAACATTCACACCGGCGTTTCCTGATGTCCTCAGAGGCGTTGCCTCCGACATGCCCCTCCTCAGGCAGGCTCTGGTTTGTGCCTCCGTCCCTGACACCCAAGAACAAGGCCGAACTGGAAGCTCAGCCTCATTGGTGTGAGCCTTAGATTCCCCTGGCCACTCTGGATTCCAGTCCTCACTTAGTCTGGGCTCAGAGGAGTCTGCTTTCTTGTCAGCTCACTCATGAATTTAAAGGGATCGTTTTCGGAATCCCACCCTCACATCTAGCAAGCAGGTCGGTCTGGGCACTGTCTTCCATTCTGCAGGAAGCCAGCTTTGAGTTGGCACCTTGCACACTACATCCTCGCCTCTGGGGACAGCAGCATCTGTCCACTACGCAGTGTTCCTTTATGACCTTAGGAAGCTTCTGATTATTTTTTTCCTTCGGTGTCTTGTGGACTATTGATTAGATTTTGTCCCATAAATATCAGTTTGTATTACATCAGACACATAATCTAATGAGCTGCTTTTCTGGCTCATAAAATTTTCCAGCATTACAGAAAAACGTAAAGAAAATTCAAAAATCCTAAGAGACCCAACATTACCAGAAGTAATAATAGCTATTATACTTTGAGGTATGCCACTGTGAACATTATTCTGATATGTGCACTTATTTTTACAGGAAGAGGGGAGCTGCTTTACCTTTCCAAGAGTTAAGCAAGGACGGTGTGTGTGTGTGTGTGTGTGTCCTCACCTTGGGGACCCCACCGGAGTTTACAGGGCAGGAACGAGAGCTTTTGTACCAGAGCAAGTTCAAGGCTCCTGCACACCCTGAGGCCTCCCTCCCCTCCTCTGCAGGACATCTCGGGCAGCTCCCTGGTCTGCCCGGTGAACAAGACCTGGATTCTCATGGGTGTGGTGAGCGGCAGCTCTGGCTGTGGCGGGCGGCACCACCTCCCGAGCATCTACACCAGCACCTCCCACTTCAGCCCCTGGATCCAGAAGCAGGTCACACACCTGAAGTTCAGCAGCAGGGCCTGCCCCACCTTCCTCAGCCAGCTGCTGCTTGCCGGCCACATCCTGCTGTTCTCCTTGGCCCCCCTGTGGCTGCTGTGAGCTGTGTCTCAGGACAGGCCCCCCGGAGAAGTGGAGACCACTGGCTGAAGATATGGGGTGCAGAGACTTGGGGGAAGCCCTGGCCCCACTGTTTCTCCTCAGTTCTTCAATGAAGATGCTCTGACTTTGACCACTGATGTCGTCTGTCCTTGACTCTGGCCAGAGCCCATCAGACCCCTCCTCGGAGCCACCCTCCCGATAGTCCGTGTGTGTGTGTGCTTGTGGTATGGTCTTTGTAGCCTGTTCCCGCTCTCTGGGTGGCAGTTTCCTCTTCTATCAATAGGCTGCCAGTTCCTGCTAAGTCTCTCTGGTCCTCTAGCTGTCCTGGTTCCCAGGGCCTCCGCTGGGCTCCCTGAACATTTCCCCCACGCCGCCTTGTGAAACCCACAAAGGCTGGATCACAACCCTGTGCTGTGGACTATTCTGGAGCTAGTGGGCCTCTCCTGATCCTCCTACCCTCCTGTGGGTCCCCTGGTTCCAGCGGACGGTGCCATGGGGCAGGGCAGAGTGCCTGCCTGGGTGCATGTGTGATGAAAGTGCCCTGAGCTGCTCAGCAGCCTCTGTGGCTCCATCATACTCCAGAGAGCAGACAGACGAGGCCCAAACTGGCCAGCCTGTGTGGAGGTGAGGGTCCCCCAGACCCAGCGGGCCTCAGCTCCTGAGCAGCCAGCCACCCCTTTCCTCCAGGGCACCCTGCATCTCCAAGGTGCCTGTGTCAGTTACTTTTCTCTCATTGTTGAGACAAAATGCCCGACACCCAAAGTTAAAGGGGGAAAGGTTTATTTAGCTCACAGTTTGTAGAGGTTTCGGTCCATAGTCTGCTGGCTCCAAAGCAAGGTGGCTTGGCAAAGGGCCATTGAAGAGAAGAGTTCATGGCGGCTAGAAGGTAGTAATGCAACATGGGACCCTAATGCGTCTTTCTGCCCCTTTCATCCCATCCAGGCTACGGGGATCAAGGTGGTGCTAAGCCAGTCACTCCCGTGCAGTGGTTTAGTAATCGCATGCCCTCAACCCCAGAGTCACACAGTTCCAGATTCTGGAAAAGAACGCCCCACCTCATCCACATGAGGCTTTGGGGAACACCAAGGCTTGGCTGTAACAGTCCCCTACCCTCTGGAAAGGGTGGAGCACAGGATAGCACTCAGGCACCCCTCCCAAGACCAGAGCCTTGACACTTGTCATTGTGTCCTGGCTCGGTTCACCTGTCTTTAATTAGGCTGGAACCTTACAATGGCTTCGTGCTCCTGAAAGGATTTCCCCAACACTACTTTTTAAAGGGACTGCCCATTTGTGCCACTGAGCCACACCCTCCCAAATTCTAGCTTCTGAAGTGACCCATTCCCTCGGTGGCCCGGTGGTTACCCTTGCTCTCTGTGGTGGGACCCTACCTCTCAGCCACCCTTCCTGAGCAAATGGATCTGAGTCAAAGACATTTCTGCCGGAAGGGTAGGGGCGCAACTTGGAGATGTGGGGCGCCCGCCTTGGGGGCCTGGGTTGGGCTTCCTGTCCCTCGCAGGTATGACAGCACAAAGACTCCTGTCACTGGCCGGGGTCTGTGACCCAGAGCGAGGAGGGAGGGGGCAGGGCGGGTACAGGAGCATGTCCAGGTGCCCGCTGGGGGGTGCAGTCGCAGGGACTAGGGTGGCGGTCGATGGCGGTCGGCGGCGAGCGGGGGTCGCTGTGATCCGGAG